TCCTTAGGGTTTAGGGTTTAGGGGGGAATCCCTATTCCAGATATTAACGCTCCTACAGAAGGACGTACAGGCTCCTCGCACGATGCTCAGGGCTGGTCGCTTTGCACAGCACCAACCCAGAGATCCCAATACCCCTTGATTAAGGAATCTACTTTAAATCATGATAATTATCATATAACCCCAAAATGGTAGGATTTATACAAAGAACCCAAATAAAAAAACCCAGTTTATAATCATAATACCATCAAACGAAGCCCTTGTGGTTCATGGCTGAGTCCTTAATTAAGGAATACATCTTAAATCATAATATCATCAAATGAAGGCCCTGGTGGTTTATGGGAGTATTCCTTAATTAAGGGGGGTTTGGGGATCTGTAGGAAGATGAGTTCATGCCTGCAACGGAGCGCTGCGGGGCTCGGCTCCTGTGGCAACCTGACTAAGAAACCCTGGCCGTCTAACTCCAAAATAGTAGGATTCATATAAAGAGCCCTGATGAAAACCCAACTCATATACATAACCTAAAAAAAGACAAGGTGTATAAAGAGCCCTAATAAGAACCCAACTTATATGAAGAACCTTAATATAAAAAGAACGAGGGTTTCTTGATCAGGTTCCTAGACGCAGTGAAAGCTGGAGACCAACAAGACCCACGCGCCGCGAGTCCTTAAAGCCCACCTGGTTCCGCCATGTCTGAAAGCTGACCCTAAACCCTAACTCCACCTCCACCAAACTTCACATTCAGCCATCCTCGACCCAAAGCCACTCCAAAACTGCCCCAAAGCCAGAAACTAGGAACACTCCGCCCCAATGTAGGCCTTCAGCCCTTAACCTTCAGTTGCTTTTCACGAAGGCTCACAACAGACCCCAAGTCAAGCTGACGTCACCGACCTTTCTACACCTAGAGAACCGCTCTATGCGCTGAACATGACCTTAAACCCTAAACTCCAACCCCAAAAAAACCTACACCTTAAAACCTAAAGGCCTAAAGCCTAAAAACCTCCACCCTGTGAAACCCGGCAGTTGTTTTCGACAGGGCTCCGCCGTTCGCGGCCCCTCACCGGCAAAGTGCGCCATGGCGGCGGCACGTCGGGACGAGGCTCGGGGCCGCTGTTTGTGTATCTAACCTTTATAGCATGAATAGGGTTTAGGGTTTAGG